CATGTCAGATGCTGCCTCCAGGGCTGGCGGTAGGGCCAGGCGGCCCTCCGGCTGGTGGTACTGTGCTCCACCACACGTTGGGTGTGTGGTGTCCAGTCACGCACCATCAAGTCACGTGACACACGTGTGATAGTCGCGTGAGGAGCGGGGTTGGAGCCACGTGAAGCATATGCACATGTGCAGACGGGCAAGTCATGGAAATTGCAGCCCTTGAATGAGAATAAAAGAGACTGCTAAGACAAGCCCTTGTGTGTGCACCGCCGCCACGATTGCCCAATACCGAAACATCGAGAAGCTTGGACCCTGGGGTGCCGCGGATCCATGGTGGTGACTTTCCTTGCAACTCTATCCCGAATGCTTGCTTGATTTCTATCTTTTTATTCCATTCTGTCCTATCGCTATTGATTTCTTACTTTTAATTAAAAGTTATTGCTACTAATTTTTTACTTTTGATAATAAAAGTTGTTTTGGGTATATGGCATCTGACCTTGTTTGTGTCTTAATCTCACTATTGGGATCATATCAAAACCTCCCCTGACATTGGATCAGGACACTACCACATAAATTGTCTGTCCTATGGGAAAAGGTAAAGTGTAATTATTAATAGTTTCCAAGAGATGCCTCCCAAATTACAGCGGTGACAGCAATGCTGAGTACAAAAACCAGATTAGTCTCATGACCAGCCATTTTATCATATCATAAGCCAGTGTTACAAAGTACTGCACAATTATAACCTTGACTCAGCTCCCAGAGATAATCAGCAGCACAACAGGGAAAATATGCTGGAAGTAAGGTGTTACATAACACAACCCTGAGAACAAGCACAGCAATTCTGAGAGCAAATAAATCAACATTGTGACCAGCAACTATCAAACTAATATAATGAATGATTATTAACAAATTTGTTCTAACACACTACGGCCAGATGTGTCATTATCTCAACCCATCGTGCCCCAAATTGAGCGCCAAAAAGGACTGTCATGGAGAAGTTGCAAAAGGGTGTCGACCATTTTAACTGTTTGCAACAGTCCTTCACTGGAACAGAGGTGAAGGATTTCGCTGTTGGCCATGGCTCTGAGATCAGCCCAATGTGGT